CTAAGTTTAACATGCATTGTTTGTAAAACGTGAGCTTTACGAAGGTTGAATCAAGAGCATCAAAGCAATCAATAAAGAGAATCACATATTTCCTTTGCTTAATTTACACGAAGCAAATGGTGTCCATATATGATTTCTGGGACAGCTATTCAAAATATTTCACCTCAACGGCAGTTTTGGTGTGTTGCACAATTTTTTTTTTGTCATTGGAAAGATTGATACTTTGGAATCAAAACACTTTAAAATCTGCTTTTTTGTTGTCTTGGCTCAGAAAGTGTTACATTGTACAATTATTTAAATTGTGATGTGTGGAAACCAAAAATAATCCATAGAATTTTGGTTAACAAAATTAACCACAAAGGTTCAAGTAAAGGTAAAAGCTTTTTGATCCGCTTGACCAGTTGGATTTTCGTAGGGTTTTCTTAGAAAAAAAAATAACTATCATAGTGATACTAAGATGATCAGTTATTAAGGCTAATGAATTGAGAAATTAAGAAGAAAGAGTGTTGAAATATTGCCAAAATTAGAGGGAACAAAGCCATGAAAACTTTTGTGTAGCTAGTCAAAGAAAAACTGAACTCCAAAAAAGAGTGGGAATGGAATCAAATCTGTTGAAAGATTCAATTGATTCAAAAATGGTTGGGAAATTACGTTCGAGTTTTCACACTATATAATTATGTAACTTAATGATCAATTTCCTTTGAATGGTTGCATTCTCACGGCACATCGCTATCTTTGAATAGTTGCACTAATTTAATTATCAATTTCCTTAAATCAATCCCTTTCTTCTCACTCCAAAAAAAAAAAAAAAGGTCAAAAGTTTTACTTTGATTCCTGTTCAGATAATTATGTAACCGCGTTGTCTGGGTCATTCACAAGTCAAAAGTTTAGACTTAGATTTTTGTTGTTAATATTGGAAGGGATATCCTATATTTTGTTTGGTCTTTTTTTTTTTTTTTGACGATTTTAAAGATACGTTATTTCAATATTTCACATCGGTACGATGTATTTAAGGTTTTATTATTAAAATATTTTTATAAAAAACAAATTATAATTGGTAAAAAAAATTCCTAAAGAAAAATCTTTTAATGGGCTTTACATTATAAATAAAATATAATATCAATAATTCTTTGCATATAAGAAAACTAATAAAATTAATATATAATAGGAGAAAATTTAACAAAAAAAAATTTTATCCGAAGCATCTTATAATTCAAGGGATATAATAGATCTTTCTCTTTATAGTGTGAGTCATCTATTAAATGAAGATAATTTAGTCAATTTGATTCGAGTTGATGATTGAGTCGATCTGAATTTTTAAACTCCACATCATCTTGATTACTTTTACTTATCACATGATATCATGTGAAAATATTGACTTGTCACCTTTTAATTAAGTTATTAACTATCAAGTTAGCTTGGGTCAGCTACATAAGCCCTAGTCTCCTCATTTAGAACTCGAGTTACCTAAGCCTAGCATCTTTATCACACAGAGATAAATATCCCCTCATATATTCTACTAAACCCACTTGAACTTTCCATGCATTTTGGTTTTCTCTCCTCTTTGTTCTCACACCAAGCATTGACCTGAGCATTAGAGTATAAATATTGGAGAAACCTTCAATTTTTGTTAGTAACCATCTCTTACCTTGTAATTTTAGATTTTTGCCCTTGTGAATCCGACAAGTTGTATTAAAAAAGAATTAAAATTTGAGGTTTTAAGTCGAAAACTTTGCATTTATATTTTGAGATGAGATGAAAGATGATATTTATAAAAAGAAAAAAAAAAAAACTTCTATGGTGCATCTCAAGATCAAACGTATAAAAACTTAACATAAAATCAAACGAATATGATGGAAATTAATTAAATTTAAGATCTAATTTTGGGTCTAGGTCATTTCATTGTAATAGCTAATCAGCATGGAAAAAAGTGATAACTTTGATTAGGAATTTATTTAAGTTTAATTTAACAAAAAAAAAAGCTGCCGTCAAGCAAAAAAATCAAGTGTATGTCACCTAATGAAAAATTTTTCTTCTAAAAAATGAGATTAGGGTCATGATTATTCAAACATATTGCAGTGGTCTAGCACTACTAATTAAAGTGAAGAATGCACTTTAAATTTTGTCACCCACGTGTCCATCTGATATTTTGAACTTCTAGATAGGATTAAAAAAATAATAATTAATGTTGCTTCGAGAATTGATGTAATTGAGATTCTTTAATATTTTTGGATAACCGCATGGCGAGATGGTTAACTTAAAGTAAGGTTATTTTTGGTAAAATGGTGGTGGGAGTTTCTTTCATCATGTTAAGGATTTAATTATAAAACAATATTACAGTACGGTAAAGGTTTCTCTCATAACACAATGTCGAAGGATTTTTTTTTTTTTTTGAGAGACGCTGTCAAGGGATCTTAAGTGAAAATGAAAGTAAATTAGATACATGAAAAATATTATAATAAATTTAGAAAATAATAAAATAATATTTACTTAAAAACTAATAAAAAAATTATCAGTGTGATTTATTATTAAAATATTAAATTTTTAGTTAAAATGATAATGATTTAATATATGACAGACTCAAATATTAAGAAAAAAATCTAAAAAAATCTCAAAGAAGAATGATATACAACTTTGTATCTAAATTCAGATTGAACAAATTTCCAGAAATAGAAAAAAATTACCTAATGAAAATGTTTTGCAAATTGCTTTTTTTTTCTTTTTTTAACAAAGAAAACTGAAAATTTTTTCATATTCAACAAATGAAATTTGGTTTTCTTAGCAGCAACTTCCAAATACGGCCACCAGGGCAAAGGATTCCTTTACTCAACATTTAGCATCTGCAAACTCATTTAGGAGACTTATAATTTCTCAAGTCACCCTTTTATTTTCTTTTAAACTTAATTTTCTTCATTTTATTTGCTTTTGTATTGATGTTTTTCTTCAAATAATAATTTAATTTGTGTGAAGAAATTAATGTTTATCATTGGCCTTTTATTTGGCCTATTTTTATAAATTTATATACTATTTAGTTAAAAAGCATTTCAAAAAAAAAAAAAAAAAGAAGCTATAGTTGATATATTTATATACGGTTATTTTTGCCCAATATGTATACGGTTGGACCAATGTCGTTGTTACTAGTAATCTACGGTTTCAGCTAACACGACAAAGCAATCTTTTGTAATATTGGTTGCCAAGTAAAGCCAAAGTGATAAATGCAAACATGAAAAAAAAATTTTTACCAACTAAACTAACATTTTTAGTAAATTTAAGAATGATATACTACTAAATAATAATAAAAAATTTCCAATTAATTTATGGATATGATGGTAACTCTATATAATTTTAAAAGCAGTATTAGATTTGTCTATAAATCAGACCATCCATAAAGTTTGTGAGCTTGACTTGATTTAAGTTGACCCTGGTTGAAGATATTAAAATTCAAACTTCATAAAAAAATTATTTTATTAATTTTAATTTTAATTTATATTTAAAATATTAATATGAAATTAATTTTGAATATTTTAAATAGTAATTGAACCCGAACTGGCCTCGATGGAAAATCGGGCAACGCCTTGTGCTGGTTCTGACTGGGTTCGGTCAGACCTCTTGACAATAACTTCATGCATGAATATTATTTTTCTGAGCTAAAGGAATGCATTAATATTAATACTGTTTTACTAGTGCATTTTAATATATTTATGTTTCTTTCTAATACGTAATTAAGAGATTTTTTTTCTATCTTTTACAAATTACCTAAAGAAATAACTTTTTATCTTTCAGAAATTACTTAACAATCCCAAATAAAAAAAAATGGAAATAATGGGATTGGAGGTTACGAAATTCACTTTCCCTAATACTTACTAAGTATGAAGGTGTGTCGTTTACTAGTCAATTTTTTTGTTAATATTTAAAATTATTAAAATTTAAATATTAATCATTAAAATTAAATATTTAATATTTTATCAATAAATCACACAATTATTAATCATGTTAATAATTTAATTCCTTAAATATTTTAATGATTGAATTAGAAAATACGCACAGTTTCCACTGCATATTTTTACAAAAGTAGCTCCAATTTGCTTTGATGTTGTCTCATTTTCTCTGCTATGCATTACTAGTCAGTTGTTAACGCAAGTATTCCATTGATTTTAACAGGTGCTAACAGGCACCAGTTAGCATTTGTCATAATTAAATATTCACCCACTTTAGATTCAGACTTCTCTCCTTTGAGAGATGCAAACTTATAGTCAAATTTCTATTTTATTTTATTTTATTTTATTTTTTGAGGATAACTTGTAGTCAAAATTCTAAGAACAAGAAACTAAATTAATGATGGAAATAAACTGGCGTTTACTTATGATGGAAAAGTCATGAAAATTAAATGAAGTAAAAATCTTTGTAATTGTTTGACTCTAAATATATATATATATATATATATATATTGTCTCATGTCAATATATTTTATATATGACCACCGGCACTCCATTGGAATCAATGGATGAATATCTGATTTTTAGACTTTTTTTATTTATTTATTTTTTATAAAACTGTGTCAATTTAAATAAAAAAATTTTTGGAGGCATTTAAAAACATAATAGTAAATATTGATTACAACACTATTAAGTGTTGAACCTTTGACCATTATAATTAAAAAAAATGTAAACGATGAGAATAAGTGTGTTATGACAAAAATAGGAAATCAGTTTTGCAAATTATTAAAACTATTTTTTAACAAAGTAATATATATTTTTTTGTATTCCAAATTATAGAATGAACTTAGAGAAACTAAGAATACATCACTTATAATAGGACTTGATTCAGAGGGTTTCTTCACAAAATCCCTTTCTTATTCAAATTGAACTCAAAACACATTGAATTCTCCTCTTCAATTCAACATATGCAATTTTTTTTATTTTTTATTTTTTGGGAAAAGACTAAATAAAAGGAGAAACTAAAAATAAGTGATGCATTTTCACTCACTGATTCTCGATATCTTTTTTTTTTTTTTTTTTTTTGCTTTTGTGAAAGTGAAAAGAAATGAAAATCAAATCATAAGAGGTCATACGTCCAAGAACCTTGATCAAAACCCATTCTCGGGCACTGAATTAGAGGAGATGGTAATGAACCAAGAGCTGGGTTTCTGTCACTATCATCATTAATTATCAAATCCCAACCGCCGAAATAATCATCCCAAAAGCTCAAGTTGTTGCTGATGTTGTTGCTGTTGTTGCAGCTGCTAGTGTTGTAATCAGAGGGCCATTCAAAATCAGGGAACTGCAATTCTTCCAGGAACTTGGAAGAGTCACAAGAAGATGATGAGGATGAAGTTGTTGATGGTGCACTAGGGACTAAAATCTCATGGGGTTCGATCAACGGAACTTCATCCGTGCAAAAACCATCAATATTGTTCATCATCTCCATCGGATCAAATAATCGGCTTGTCATGATCTTGTCTTCCTCCTTTGCTTCAGTTATTGTGGATTGTATGGATGTTTCAGGCTCCTTTGTTTTGTCCACTTGAGACTTGACAGCAGGTTTTGGAATTTGTTTCTTTTGCTCTTGCTGCTGCTGCTGCTGCTGTTGTTCAGTAGTGGATAGCGGCTTGTGGGTGAGAGGATCAATGCCCATTTTCCTCAGTTTTTTCTTGATGTGAGTATTCCAATGGTTCTTGATCTCATTATCAGTTCTTCCAGGAAGATGAGAAGCAATCTTAGACCATCTGCAAAAATGAAAGAAAACAAACTCAATGGAAAAGAAAATAATTAAAAAAAAAGTAATCAATATTTGCAATCCTTCTCTTTATCCTGACCTCCTTTGTAAACAAATAAAATAAAATAAAATAAAAATGAGCTAATTTGGGACCACTTCAAAGAACGATGATAATTTTTTCAGTCCTCTAAAACTACCTGGTTTTTAATTTTTGAAGAATTTTCTCTACCCTATATAAATTCTTTAGACTGACAAACTTTGACGACGGCATGATAAAGAAATGGGTAAATGGGGCTGAGTCTACAATTGTAAAATTCTGAAAGTGTTCTGGTCCCCGGAAAATACTCAATGGAACGAAGTCCATTATTTGTAATCAATGCTGCTTTGCATTAAAAAAATTCAAAGTCGGTGTTTTGGATAATAAATGTCTTGGAAATCACTTTGGAAGATGGAGTTGATTTCAAGGAAAAGCTCTACCAAGTAATAATGTCTTAGGTATGAAATGAGTTCAAAGCGGTACCCGAATCTAAAGGTGAAAACAGAGGAAATGGTGAGTAAAGAAAAATAAAAGAACAAGGATGAAAGATAAAGATGGGGAACCTGTTGCCAAGTTGTGCATGGAGATCAATGACCATTTGCTCTTCATGTTCAGATAAAAGTCCTCTTTTCAGGTCTGGTCTAAGATAGTTTGTCCATCTCAATCTGCAACTCTTCCCACATCTTAACAATCCTGCAATAACACACCCAACAAATTCATATTTCAGTGCAATGATTAAAATTATATATATAGCTTTTTCATTTGTTTTCTTTTTCAAATTGAATATTGCCTTAGTGGTCAGCTTTTCTGACTCTTGCCTTTCTTAATCATTATGCCAAGTTGCCAACCCCCCATTTTCATTTTTATATCCTCCATTAAACAAAAAAGGAAAAATGAATTCAAAACCAGCTTGAAAAATCTTTTTGCTTCATCAAAAACTTAGAAAAGAAAGTAAGAAAGATATGTTTAAATCTATTTGAGAAGCAAAAAGATTACCAAGACGGTAAAAACATATCCAAATCCATGAAAAAAACAAAGAAAAGATACCTTTCTTCCCCAACAACAACAACAAAAAGAAAAACACAAAGTTGTTATAATTCTCTGATCTCTGATAATGTGGGTGAGAGAAAAAAACTGAAAAGAATGGGAAAGAAACCTGCAAGCTTAGGAACAGCTCTCCAACAGCATTGGCCATTGGTGAGGATGAAGTTAATAAGCTTCTTGTCCTCTTCTGCAGTCCATGGCCCTTTCTTCAATCCAACTTTGTCACAGCAAGGTTGCCTTCCCATCTTTTCAGTTAAACTGAATTCCCAAGGGCTCCAACAAAGATTATACAACCAGGGAAGAAGAGAAAAATAATTGGAACAAAGACGGACAGACAGACAGACAGACAGACAGGAGAAGGAAAAGGAACTCTCTTCAAGGTGCTATGCACTGATAACAAGGGCACAAAAACAAGTTACCACCATATATATAAATGAATTAACCCCTCAAGCTCAGCTTCTTTTTTTTTTTTCTTTTTAATTGGACAAAAATTATATATTTATTTATTTTGATTAATACCATTACTTTTAGACACATGTATATACACATGTATATCATGGAGCGAACGCGTAACACACGTCCGATGTCGCTTTCAGAAAGCTCAACTTCATCAAACTTTTTCATTTACTCTTACTAACACACATTAGCGTAAGGAAAAGTAAAAGTAAAACGAAAACCAACAATCTCCCCTTGGAAGATAGTCTATTAGTAAGTTTTTATAAGATTTTTATTTATATTTAATTTTAGACTTGATTATTCATGCATGTGTTCATGTTGCATCTATATAAAATATAAAAATTATCTTATCGTAATTTATGTTGATATATTAAATAATTTATGTTGATATATTAAATGTGAAATATATTTTTTTTTGTTTTATTAAATTCATATAAAATTTTATTAAGATTTTAAATTGTGTTACTTTTTTTTTATATTATTTTCATATCGTGTAATTGTGTTATATTTAAAATTATCATACTTAATTAATTTTTATTTTTAACTTTTCATTGCTTGTAAACTAATATAAATATACAGGATTTGTTTACTTTTGTACCAAGTAAATTTGGTCCAGTTTATACGCCTACCAATGTATATATATTGTCCAGTTTCTACTCTACCAATATACATTATACTACAAATGGAAGACTAATGAATTATTAATTCTGTAGTCAACAGGTTCAACTCATTGCAATTCTTACAAACACACAAAATAATAATAATAATAATAATAATAATAATAATAAATAAAAAGATAAGGATCATCCCAGAAATTAGAATTTCAGATTTTAATTTGGAATTTTTAAATTTGACTTCTAAGATGAAAAAAAAAAAATGAAATTTATGGGTTAGAAAGGGTAACTTCCTATTGTGTAATACTTAAAAACATCTATTGCCCACAAAAAATTGCTATGATAGAAAGGGAACTAAAGATAATTTGTTTAATATTTGAAAGCAAAAATGAACAAACACAAGCAAAAATAAAGATAATTTGTTTAATATATGTATAGTAAAAAATAAAAAATAAAAAAGAACATACAATAGTTTTTTAATTCCGATTATAAAATTAAAAAATTCTATTGTTAAATATAATATAACTCATTTTTTTTAATTCTTAAATTGAAAAAAAAAAGCATAAAAGAGTCCCTGCTAATTCAAGGAATCCCCTTCTTGTTGCACACTATTACAACTGCTGGGACCTTCTTAACCAGTACTCTAATTAGTAATCTTGCTATGTGCTCTGATATCAATTGTAACGGTTAAATTAAGTTCAGTTTAAACATCATTGACCTATAACTTTTGGGATAATCCTACTACACTGGAACTTATTATATTTGCATGGTTTCTTAAGATTTGAGTACTGATTTCTTTAGCATTTACTGGGAATGGTAAAAAATACATATATAACAAACAAAAGGTATACTTTTGTATAAGTTTGTAAATTAGATGGATTATATGACCCTTAAGCTTTTAATATGTTAACTTGTTCCCTTGACCAAATTTGATCATCTAATTGTATTCTTTTACTATTTTTATTCTCAATTATATATATAATAATGAAGGTTATTGAGCTCGAATTTTTAATTAAAAAGACAATAATCACGCAATTTGATTTTGGCTTAAATGATGGATGCAATTGTATATTTAATCAAAATTTCAATCATTCTATTGCAATAATTAAAGGCACGATAAGGTTGAGAAGCAAAACAATAACAAAGGCATATTATGCCACAAGTCGGCTTATATATACAAATTTTTTTTATATGACATGTTTTTCTTGGAATTCTTTGCAATAGGAAAAATAAAATCGTTTATTAAAAATATTGCCTTTGTCAATACATTTATAAATTCGGATTGCTTAATGAGAGACCTTTCAAAATTTTTGTAATTATGCATATGATAAACCCTCTAGCCTTATATTGGTACTAAAATATTCCTTTTTAATTTATGATATTTATTTATATTTTTAATTTGAGATGTTTAGAAATTAAACCCAAATAACTAAAATTAAAAATTCGGCATGCATATAATATATAACAAAAAGTTTTGCAATATTAAGAATCTGATATTTAACTTAATTGATTTATATAATTATTATTAAAAAATAATATTTAATAAATTTAAAATTTAAAATTAAACACTTATAATTTATTTTTTATCCTAAATTCCGACATCTTATATATATATATATATATGTATGAAATAAAAAAAATTCTCATCATTATTATTTTGTTAATTCTTTATTGGTTTTCCTGAACTATAAATTATTAATCAAAGTTCAACAACCGGAAATTCCTCCCAATCATATACGGGTCAACGATTCGATACTTTTTATTTGTTATGGCAGAGCCCAAAAGGAAAAGTTGGGCCATGAAATTACAGTCGTCTAGAATATTCTAGGTTTACACAGGTTGACCTTAAAGAAAAACTAAATAGCATAGAATTTTGATAATACGACTGAAGCTAAACTCATTTTTGCCCGAAAAGCTTATTTGGAAAAAGCACAAAAGCCGTTTTATTGGACTCAAGATTTCTTTAATTACAAAACAACTTTGAACCAAATATTCTATTAAATATTTTCCAATTGTTATATTTTAATTAAATTTATATCAAAATTAAAACACAATGATAAATTTGCTTTGAAATTAAAAGTATAATAGTAAAATTACACCAGTTGAAAGTTGTGATAAATTTAAATCATTTACGTAATTGGAATAATAAACTTATATATTATTAGCCTTTATATTAAAATTTTGAAGTAAGAAAAAATATTTTTGATTGTAGAATTTAATGCTATTATATATATGATAGATTGATCTCTATTTTGAGAATAATCTACCAAACCAATAAACATTTATATCTACCCATATTATACATATATCACATTGCCTTAAATTTTTGTTTTAAAAGTAAAATACAAAATAATTTTATTCCAAGTATTAAAATTTTCTATATTATAGTTCAAAACGTTCAGATGCATGCAATGCGATTCACGTGAAAATTATTGTATCTTGTTCTTCCTTTTCCTTTTCATGATAAAAGGAAAAGGAAATGTAGGTAAGAAAATTTTTGCATTCAAATTAAGTATAGAGTGTTGGAAGTTAGGTTTTTCTTTTTACTGTTTAATTATAAAAAAGGAACAAATTTTAGTCCTGAGAGAAGGATTCGAATTTATGGGATGAGAAACCACTTTTTGTTATAAATATCTTAATATCATATATATATTTATACAAGGACGGATTCAGCATTTATATTCAGTGGGGACAAATTATTAAGTAATATTTATTCACAGACTATTGTAACTTAAAATGATTTTCATTAAAATATAATGCCAAATATTTTTAGAAATATAAAATAATAAAAATATTTTTAAAAAATTATAAACTATTAAAAAATATATTTTTATATATAAATTAATTAGATCTAAAAAATCACATTTATTTGTCTTAATTGTGTCACGTTATGAAAAAATTATTAACACTTATATATGTAAATATAAATATAACAATTGAATAAATAAATTAAAGATTTAAACATATACATCAATATATTTATTAAATGGATTATATAATACCACACGATTAACAAGTTTTTTGAACAAGTTGGATTAAACACCACATGACATAATATATTTTGTAACCCATTAAAAAGTCTTTCTAATAAGATCAATAAGTATTGTAAAGAGATAAATTTTATATTTATATTTTGAATCATTAACTTATTCAATTACTTTTTTATTTTGTTAATATGTTCATACACATTTCAATATTATAAGAGATCCATATGTATATTTACATTTAGTGGGGGTAAAATCCAAAAAAATAAAAATTAAATTTATTTCTAATAATCCTACTTGTTATTTTGAAATTTTAGTGGGGGCAAAATACAAAAACCATTTATATTTGGGGTCTTTTATCAATAGAAATAATCAAGTTTCAAGATTTTAGTGGGGGTAGCTGCCCCCACTCTAGATCCCCCTCTCTCTCTCTCTCTCTCTCTCTCTCTCTCTCTATATATATATATATATATATATATATAAAATGATGACGAAAGTGCACTTACGACTGAATTTTAATTTGAATAATATTAATTTAAAAAATGACATCAAGTAAATTTATAGTTTAAATATTAGTGCTTATGATTTTTTTTTTTTTCATATGGCAACCTTCTTTATATACAAAAAAAAACTTACGTTAAAGATAATAATCATATGTCATATTTTTTTTCATATGTCATATTTAATATATAGGATGATAAATAGGATAAGATAGCAATAATTTTATATTATATTTGATTTGTGTCTAAAAAAATTAGGATTGTAAGTAGAATTAATTATCCTTTTAGTATAAGATAATTTAATTCTCTTAAAGTAGAAAAGATTATTTTTAAGTAATTAGATTGAACTTACATATCTTATCATACCCTTACAAATTACATCAATAACTTAAATTACATAAATTTTGAGGAAGAATAATTTTAAACAATAAACAAAATTATTTTATCTTAATTTTTACATACATCAAATACAAGATAGGATAATATTATTTAATCTAATTTTATTCATAATGTTGGGCTAAAAGCCTCCAATTCAATCACACCAGCAAAAGCGAAATCAAACAATAAATCAAACACATAAGAGATAACAATTTAACGTGGTTCGATCCAACTGACCTACATCCATGGATGAGAAATAAGATCCACTAGTTGTAGAGAATTACAAACTTACATCAAATCATCAATCTTACTCAACAATCAACAATTATAAGACACTCTCAATCTCCTCTAATCCTATGGAGTATTCTCAACCCAAACAAACACAAACCCAAACCATTGTGCACATTTTCAACATAACCAAACACATATCTATATGCTCCCATACATCATACCTATATGGACCCTCTCAGTCTCCTCTAGTCTACTCACAAATAAACATACACACCCATAAGACGTAGAGCCTCAATACTCCTATAAGGTATCTATCCCATAAAACCTTACAACTCTTTTAAATCTT